GAGCTCTAGGGTTGGGAGCACGGCATCAAAAGGATTAACAAGAGGAGCAATGAATAGAAGATGTGTAAGCTGATGTGCAGCAATTGACAGGCGTCCAAAACATTGCTCTTTGATGCAAGAAGCTATCTGTGCCATTGCTGGCAGTGATGTCACACTATGCATGTACAGTTGCAATGGCAGCAAAAAGTGAAACAAAAATATTATGATCTGTGACACCAATTATAAACAAACTGAGTACTTTAGGGAAATTATATAACTGGTACGAAAATAGATTAACTGCAGCACAATGTCCCATTCTCGCAAGATAGAAATAGTAAGGTTCCTTTGCTCTATTAAATCATTATAATCAACAATCTGAAAAGACCCATTAGTATGTTTTCCTCACACAAATAAACTGTTGGAGAAACTCAGCAGGTTGGGCAGCATCAGTGAAGAGAAGCAGAGTTTCAGGTCCAGTGACCCTTCTTCAGAACAGGGAGTACAAAACCAGATGGCATAGGCTTGAAGTGAGAGGGGAAATATTTAAAAGAGACCTAATGGATAATTTTTTCACGTACAGGGTGGTGCATGTATGGAATGAACTATCAGAGAAAGTGGTGGAGGTTCGTACAATTACCGCATTTAAAAGGCATCTGGATGGGTATATGAAATAGGAAGGGTTTAGAGGGATATGGGCCAAGTGCTTGCAAATGGGACTGGATTAATTTAGGATATCTGGCTGGCATGGACAAGTTGGACCGAAGGATCTGTTTCTATGATGTACATCTTTATGACTCTATGACTCTGTGTTAGGCAAAGTACCCTTAACACCTTTGCTGAAGAGCCATTTACATTCATGTTTATAGTGAACGTGCATCTTTGTTGTGTCCTCTTGCTCTTTGTTTTCAGAAAATATAACCCAGGTGTTTACCCAGATATGCAGTTTCAATGTTGTCATAGACATACTGTCATACAGCACAGAAGAGGCTCTTTGGCCATCAAGTCTGTGCCTATCTACATTGATCCTATTTTCCTGCACTTTCCCACAGCCTTGAATGTTTTGACATTTCAAATACCCACCTATGTACATTTTAAACTCGTGAAGTTTCCCACTCTACTACCCTCTAGGCAGGTCATTCCAGATTCCCACTACCCTCTGGAAGAAAAATGTTTTCCTCAATCCCCTCTAAACTTCCTGCCCTTCATCTTTAAATTATGCACCATTGTTATTGACTCTTCAACTTATGGGGACACTGTTTCCTATCACACTGTTACTGTCCCTCATAATTATATACACCTCAATAGGTTCCCCCTTCAGCCTTCTCTGCTCTAAAGAAAATAATCAGAGCCTATCCGACCTCTCTTCATAGCTAAACTGCTCCATCCCAGGCAACATTATGGTGAATCTCCTCTGCACCTGCTCCAGTGCAATTACATTCTTCCTATAGTGTAGCAACCAGGACTGCAAACAGTACTCCAGCTGACCAAAATTTTGTACACCTCCAACATAACCTCCATGCTGATTTGAGCATTACCTCCCTGTATTGATTAAACTGCAAGTATAGAACTAAGAGCTAAAAATTTGAAAGTACCACTTTCTAATGCAACAATCATGATCTGTTACCCATCCATGCTTGTCTTCAGAGGCCAGCAATCTAGAAACTTTGGCTGCTCACTTCTATGATCTCTGGGTCCTCAGTAGGATCCTTGTGACAATGTGTGAGGTTAGGACATATTTCACCTCCCAAATGCTGTCTTTCCTTTTAAAGAGAAATCACCTTGATGAAAGAGGCTTTTGCTGACTGTCATTGATGCAGATTGAAAGAATAGGAATTGCAGAACCAGGGTAGAGATAGGACTCTCTTTAGCCATGAAGGCAAATCCTGAAAATGCTCACCAAGCTAATGAGTATCTTCAAGAAAAGATGGTTCATCATCTTGAGAAGATTCAGTTATCTTACTGCTATGCTGATCAACTTGCTGTGAAGTTTCAAGCTTTTCATTTGTTATAATATTAATAAATGGCAGGAATGAACAAACAGCAGACCTCCACAAACTGAGACAACTACTCTAATGTGCACTGGACAGTACTGAAGTGTTCCTTCAGCCAGCTACTGATCTTGTTCTACGATGCAGTTTCACAGTGTCAGGCATTAATGGGCCCGGGTAAATGAGTGGTAACATCTACGTGCCAAGGAATAAGCCTTTGTTTTTGAGTAACTGGATAGTCACAGTCTGGTTCTTCCTGATGGTGTGAAAAGGGCAGGAATAGCAGACAAGCTCAGAACGAAGGTATCATTGGGACTGCATCATGGGCATTTGCCAATACAATGTGCTGAGTGTGGTCACACATTAACTGCACAACAATTGAATGGAAACCCTTGTGGTTCCTGTACCTCTCCCGAGTGAGATAGGAGACCTGCAAAGCCAGGCATATACAGTCAATGCTGAACTGCTCCTGGCAAAGCCTAATACTGTTTCACTCTGATTCTCTCTTGTCAGAGATAATGATGTATTCTCCCTTCGCGGTCTGATACAGCCTCTGTCACTTCGCAAATACATTGATGGATGGCATGATGGGAGACTTTAAATATGGCACTCACTCCCACTTGCAATTTAGATGCATGGAAGTTCAATTTTATTGTGTGTATATCACTGCCTGGTGTGAGGCTCCACGTCACATTGAAAGTGATCATACTGTTCTATGACCACCTACTTAGTGAACCTGTGTTGCTTCAGGCACTACTCCTGGGTCACGTGCAGGTAAGAAAAATGTTCTTGTTAAAAAATACTCTTGTTTATGGGGAGGCGGTGGCATCTTGGTAACATTACAAAACTAGTAATGTAGAACCACAGGCCAATGTTCTAGGGATATGGATTTGAATGCCACCATGGCAGATGGTAAGATTTGGATTTTAGGATAAGAAAACAAAAGAGAAAGCTTGAATTAAAAGCTAACTACTGTTCATTGTCATAAAAGTGCACCTGGTTCACTCAGGTGCTTCAAGGAAGGGAATCTGTCATCTTTACCTGTCTACACGTGATTTCAATTGACTTTTAACTGCCCTGTGAAGTAGTCAGAACACCCATGTCCCATGAATGAATAAAACAAACTTCTGGTGTGTAGGCCTTCCGTATACACTCAATATTCTTCTCCCTCTGTGCGGACCTTCTCTTTTTTCAGTTCTGCTACATTCCTCGATCGTATTGCTGATCCAATGTCACTGAAACAACAGCCTCATACCGCCTCCAGTGTTAAGTCACCACACCCTCTGGCCTCTTTGAACGTATGCAACAGTCACCAATAGAATGTCTAAAAACAAGCCACCACAATCTACCAAGCTCCTTCACAGCAGAAATAACCCAAAACCCCACCTCTTTAAATAATGTAATGTTGATGAGTTCTTCATGCTGCTGAACACATGTTCAACTGAGTGTCATTAGCACAAGCATTCATTTCACAAGCGTCTTTAAACTGTGTGTCAAATTACCTAGAATGCTGACTCAAGCACAATAGGACATTCCTTCATGTTTGAAGCACATGCTTGGCATATCCACACGAGTGCCCTTCCCAGCGACGATCATCATGTGAGCCTTAGAGTGCCCAGGAGTGTGGCCCTCACTTGGGCCAATACCAATGGCTCTACAAAAAAAGTCTAAAACCTGGAAACCTGGTTTCATAGTTCAGAAATGCTAAAGAATTTGTGTTTCTCCAAAAATGGCCAAACAATGAAATGGCATCCAATATACTTTGCGCCTGCACTAATATGTATGACACCATTTTGTAACTCTATGCACATTTGCAGCATCCAGAAAATTTCATCAATAAGTTTCATTTCTTGCATGTGTTTTTATACAGTAACTTTTATTGTAAGACAACAAGGTGCAGGGCTGGATGAACACAGCAGGCCAAGCAGCATCATAGGAGCAGAGAGGCTGACGTTTCGGGCCGAGACCCTTCATCAGAAAACGGGGAGGGGAAGGGGGTTTTGAAATAAATAGGGAGAGAGTGG